AAGAAGCCAATGTCAGGTGTCAGAAGGGATGAATAGAACAGGTAATCATCAAGAGATCCTTTCCTTCGCTCATTCCCAGCTTCTGACAAACAGAGGCTAGGGATACCAATCCTATCCATCCTGGCAAATAACCATTGATGGACCTATATTCCAAGAATTTATCTAGCTCTGTTGAATCCTGTTCAAGTTCTGGCCTTCACAACAACCTCTAGCAAAGAGTTCCACAGGTTATCAATGCATTGCATGAAGTAGTATTTCCTTTTGTTTTTAAAACTGCTACCTATTAATTTCATTTGGTGATTTCTAGTTCTCATGTCATGGGAACAAGTAACTTCCTTATTCACTTTCTCTATACCAGTCATGATTTTATAGATCTCCAACATATTTCCCCTCCTCCTTCCCCTCCCCCCCCACACACACCCGTCTCCTCTCCCAGTCTTTTTAATCCCTCTTCATATGGCATCTGTTCCAAACCCATAATCATTTTTGTTGCCCTTAATTTTTTCCAATATTAATATATCTTTAATATATCTATATTTTTTGTGATGTGCCTCCTTCGTTCTGAATATTCTAGGAAAAAGCAAAAGACTAAAGAATATTCTGGAACATTTCTTGCTCCATGAAAAAGCAGGCATTGGAAGTATAGTCATTAATAGAGATTGACATGTTTCATGAATAACAGGTTCTAAATCTTGGTGTCTTGGCTTCTGCTATACGGCAATACCTTCTACCAGGAGGGGGTCTAGGCTAACAAACTTCTATGTCATGTTTTTCTTTGCGGATTGGTATAAAAAAAGAATACATTTTATATGAAGTGAAGGAAAAATTACAACATGGAGCAAGCCAACACTGTAGGCGACTCTGGTCTGCTGCCATAATTAGTAAGAAGGAAGGAATAGGGGCATGATTGGGCCTGCTCTACCTAAGCGTATACAAAGGGATCTAGAATGCAGGCACAGAACCAATGGACGTTGTTGGCAAAAATAATCCAACCGTGCGCTGCATATGGGTCACATATTTGCAAAGAATGGAGTTGTGTGGGGATAATCACTCAAAGACGAAAATGTTAGTTTCTGGAAGGGGGTGGAGGGAGGTGGCGGCTCAATCTTTGTAGGAGTCTTTGAGAAAGGGTATGTCTGCACGACATTTTAAAACCCATGTCGCCAAGTCTCAGATCCCAGGCCTGCAGACATGGTTTACACTGTAACTTTAAAAAAAAAAAAAAAAAAAAAAAAAGCGCAGTGTAGACATTGCAGCCTGTACTGCAGATGAGGCTCGGTAAACTTCCTCCTCCATAGTCTTCACTGCCTCATCTCAAGCACAGGTTGCAATATATACACTGCTGTTTTTAGTCCCGAATCTGTAGATCTAAGTTCACAATGCCATGGATTTTAAAATGTAGTACAGATATATGCCAGTACTCATCTTACGTCTTCTGCTACACATCCAAGTCCCGGGTCTGAGCCCAGCTCAGAGCCATTCTACCCTTCCTGGACATTATCATTGCTCACAGATGTGACCTTGTAATATGGTTATGAGACTTTGAGACTGAGCACAGCACAAATAAATTCTGGTAGTTCACAGCAGCTCCACTGATTTTAGAAGTCAGTACTGATGAGGAAACAGGAGCCAAAATTTAGAATTTATAGTCCAAGGCATTTAAAAATATGACACTAAAAAGATGGGCTAGAATATTTTATATAAAACTGATATACATCTGCCATGTGTCTCAAATGCCTTGTCTATTGAACCCCAAATTGTCCAAGTTTTCCTCTTGGATAGAGGGCCACAAGTGAATAATTATATGAGCATTGGTTTTGTTTTGTGAAGCTAGAGGAGAGCCAAAATTCGGCTTTAACTCAAAACTTGAAACAATCTTAATCACAGATAGACTAGTCTCACTCCATAATTAGGTTTATGAAGTTAATATCCCCAGTACTGTGGAAATTGTTAGCTTTACAAATAAACAATGAAGCTGAGTTTTAAAAAGATTTCATTTATATTTTTCAATATAGCAAGCCGTGAGTGACAGTTCTGAAATCTCTTGAGAAGTCTTTCATTGCTGCTATTTTCATGTCTTCAGATTGAGAGGATTATTCCCTAGATAATTTTAACCAGTAGCAGATTTCAGATAAATTTTGTTCTAGTAGTAAGAAGAAAAATAAGGTATGTCCCAACAGAGTTCATTCAGACTCTCTTACAATATAATAAAGCAGGTGAAAGTTGGAGTGTTAGTCACAATATAATAAAGCAGGTGAAATTTGGAGTGTGACTAACACTCCAAATTTCACCTGCTTTATTATATTTTGACTATCAAAGGAACTATTTCATTAAAAGTTCATTTTAATCTAATGAATAATAATGAATACTGTGCCTGACAAAGCTGACTGAGAAATCTTGCAAGATAGCTATGGCAAGAAAGCCATAAACACATCAATATATTTTAATTATTATTGACAGTAAGAAAATATATTAGAATTTTATTTAACTGCTACTGACATTCCCTGGGAGTTAGGCATAAGGATTAGGATGATAAATCTTGCATGGTACAATTACATTACAGTCTCTCCTAATTTCTCAGTTGACATTATCCTACAGACTTACAAGTTGTAGTATTCATGCAATGCTACAGTTGTGCAGGTCTCTTTACAGACAGTTTAGAACTCCAATCCCTTGTATAGGAATGGCTAATATTCTAATTAGTCATAATATACCAACAGATTAGTGATATGCTGCCAAAACATCAAGTGGTTTGCTCAAAAAAATTCCATCTCAGTTAGCAAACATATGACATTCTTCAGCAAGACACAACCCCACCAATAAAAAAAAAGATAAATACATAAAAGGAAAAATACATTTCCATTGGAGATTTTTTTGCACTTCCTTTTGAAGCATCTGGTACTCTCCCACCATTTAATACTGGATAATGTCCAACGTGGTACATCAGTTGCTTATTTTCTATAACTACTTTACATGCTCCACTCCTCTTCACTTAAGAAATACATGAGGTGGTTAGAGGATAAGGTGGGTTTTTACCAGAAGCAGTAGTGTATTTTTCTGATAGAGTCAATGGGATTATAAAATTAAGCACATTTAAATACTGTACTCGATTGAAGTGAGAATGCTGAGATGCTAGTAAGATTCTCTCTGAGGCTAACATCCTGGTCAATTGGAGTAAGATAACAGTACTTTCTGGGATGTGAACACTGATATCTAGTAACTTGAGTCAAACACCACAACTCATTTCATGGAGGCCAAACTGCCCTAGCACAGCATCTATGGGTGCAATATTGGTTGCCAGACCATACTCAAAGTAGTTAGTGGTCCCCTATCAAACTGGGAGGACATACCTAATAGCATAGGACATACCTAATAGCATAGGGATCCATAGGAGTGAGTCCTGGGACTGGTAGTATTAAGCATTTTATAAAAATCATCCAAGAAAATATTTATCAAATTTGTAGAGAACAGCCAACTGGGAACGGCTACAAGCACTTTAGAGGGCAGGATTAGAATTAAAAAAACTTGATGAATGGAAGAATTGGTCTGAAAATAAGATGATTTAATAGAGAGAAGTGCATAGTAATATATTTAGGAAGGAAAAAAAATAAAATATATAACAAGATAGGGAATAATTAGCTAGACAGTACTGTGCTGAGAAGGATCCTGGGGTTATAGAGGATCACCAATTGCATATGATTCGACACCACTATGATGCAGTTCCAAAAAGTCTAACAAAGGCTGGATCTTCCTCATCTGGCACCATCCAGGGAAGTTTGCTCCCAACATGGCTCATGTTGTCCTGATGCCCTCAGCTAGGGCTCCAGCCTAGCCTCGCTGCTACCTGCCCAGCTATGGCTGCCACTGGGGTCGGAGCTCCACAGCCAGGGCTGGAGTTCCCTGGGTGCCGCCATGGCTGGATCCCCATGGCTGGGGCTGGAGCTCAGCTGCTGCTGGAACTCTGTGGCTGGAGCTCTGCGACTGCCGCTGTTGTCCCTGACCTCTACAGCCAGGGCCAGAGTTCTGCAGCTACTGCTGCCGGATCCCCACTACTGCCTGACCACTGGGGCCAGAACTTCCTGCCCTGAACCCTGGCTCCTAAAGTATTCTTAGCACCCGCCCACCCACTGCTGCTCCTGCCCCATGGTCTGACCTCACTATACCTGGGCTTTGTGGTCCAGGGACATCTCCGACCATGCCAGACCACAGAAATTGCCATTCCAGAGTGTCCCAGTTAAAGGAAGTACAACCTATATTCTAAGATGTAGCAACATGAACGTTGTAAGCAAGACGCTGGTGGTAACTATTACATTCTACTTGGCACTGGTGAGGCTTCAGCCAAAGTTGTGTCCAGTTCTGCATACTAGACTTTAGGAAAGATGTGAACAAACTGGAAATAATTTAGAAGAGAATAGGTTCACAAGATTTAAAAACCTGACCTATGAGGAAAGGTTAAACAACTTGGCATTATTTACTTTTGAAAAAAAATTGAATGAGGTGAGACTTGATAACAGCCTTCAAATATGTGAACGGCTGTTACCAAGAGAATCGTGATCAACCATACTCCATGCCCACTGAAGGTAGGACAAGTAGTAACAGACTTAATCTGCAACAAGATAGATTTAGGTTAGATATTAGGACAAAACTTTAAACTCTAAGGGTAACTAAGCTTTGGGACAAGTCTCCAAGGTAGGGATGTAAGCGATTAGTCAACTATCCAGTAAGCATAAGCCTACCTATTCTGCCAACCAACGTATAATTTCTACACAGTCTAACTTCTCAACTTCAAATCTCATGTCTTGTTTAGATAATGCAGTGAAATGTGAATGTGAGCAAACATAAGAAAGCTATCACAACCAAATACTAATGGAAAAAGTGACCCACTGGAAAAAATGAGCGCAAGATTTACATTCATTCCGAGCACTTTACCTGTACGCAAGGCGTCTTTCTGAATACTTTCATAGTTATGCCAGTCTTTTCTTTTCAAGCCATCAGTCCAAGTATAGAGCTGTCCATCTCCCAGGCCCAGTGGAAACGTCTGTAGAAAAAGAGAATGATTTATATTATTAAAGCACAGCCACATTTATGATCAATTACAGGAGTTGTAGTCAATGTTCTCTTTCATCTTTTCCATGCATGTGTGAAATATTTTTTTCTGTATACCCAAACCTATGCAAATGTGCACCACTAGTAGAAAAACAAAAAAAATCTTAGTTGTGGGAGCTCTGCCAATCAGCTGGATGAAACTGGGATCTCTCCAAGGCTGCACAAGTGCATAGATTACAGGGAACATTGATTGCAACACATTTTCAACTGAAAGTTAATATAAAACTGGTTTCCAAGTAGTTTAATATTGTACAACATTACAGCTGTAAAGGAGATTAAATATTTTGTAGCACTGATTTGTGTGTCTGACATTCTCATCTCCAAGGTATTTGGCTAATGTGAGGTATACGTTGAATGCCACATACAGTAAATCATGTTTAGTTGGACCTGGAAATTCCTCCCGACTAAATGACTAATAGCCACACAACAATAAAACCATATCACGCTTTCAGACTTGTATTTTTCACTACCATGATATTTCATAGCAAGAAAGTATAATAAGGAGATGGAAGAGGCTTCACTATGAGTGCATGGTTGACAAAAAAACCGAGGACACATGCACAACACCTCCCACTCCCCTAAATTAAAGAGCTGACCAGAAATTATTTTGTTAGCCTTCACTCACAAAAGGATCTGTAAGTGCTTAGCACACCTCCATCAAATAGTTTAAATGCAAACTATTGATATATCAAAAGGACCACATTCTTGGGTCTTCTCCATTGAAGCAAAAGGCCTGGTAAGCCAGTAGATCTGGCCCTGGTATAGTGGGAACCAGAGAAGGGGAGAGATGTACTACTGGCATGTTGGTCTTACATCTTTCACCCCCAAATTTGTTGGAGTGTATTTCTATACTATTTAGGCCAGTGCTTTGGGACCATAGGAAGCTAGATATTGTAAATTAGAAAAATTTATGGTTCCTCTAATATCTGTTGGAGGTCAGTTGGCCAGCCTGAGAATTATGAAGCTTCAAAAAGTGGCATAAAGCCTCTTTTATTCCAGCTTCTCTG